AGTAAAGACTCATGAATTTCAAGACAAACGCGATAAAACGAAGGCATTCCTATGTCGCAAGCACCGTGTCCGTAGTGCCACGCGAAGTGAAAAACCTAGATATGAAACAAGACAATCAATATCACCAACTACAATGACAAAAAGCGATCGGGCCAGTTGCGTCTTTGTAGCTGGGGTGTCTTTATCCCGGGTTAACACCGGCCCTGCCATTCCCTCACACACGTACCTCAAGTGTCTGAGGGGCTCAAAACTCGAGACACAAATACAAAGAGGCATTCATTCACAAATCTGCGTGTGCCCCATTCCAGAGAGGAAAATGAGAAAGATCCAACAATCCACACACCTACCATGCCTGGGGAATAAAAGTAGGGTTCTCACCGGCCAGGCAAAAACTCCGCCGTATGCAGGCCAACATGGACAAACGCAGACAGCCAGAAAATACAGGACTATCCTGTAATGCCCGGTATTATTCTCACCTTCACGGCGAGAGTCAAAAAGCACGAGGGACAGTTTGTCGGAGCAATCTCTAGGACCGGCGTGCGTAGCGGTGATGCAATCATGTTTGCCAGGCCAGCCCCATGGGGTCCCACGATTACGGATGCCGTGGCGAAGATCTTCAGCTGTGACCTGATGGAACCTGCACCCGAAAACTCTACGACCCTAAACTCCGGAAAGTTCAGCTTCAGCGCCTCTTGAACCTGGAGGCGTGATGGAAACCAACAAGCGGTGGCATTGAGTACACGGTTCCTGAACGAAGGCTAAAAAATACTGTTCTCTCTTTCATCCAGCATCGAAAGCTTATCAGAACGTAACATACTCTGCTCTACACACGGCCTTTCGGCCTATTTTGGGCGTTGGAGAGTGCTCAATGTTTCCCACAATTCTTGCAAAACAACGACTGACTATGGACACAAAAACATTCCACCGCTTGGCGTACGCTCTGAGAACTAGCGCCCGAGGTTGTCTATATTGCTCGTCATGTGTCTGTTATTTGAGGCCCCCAGGCAGCCACCCTTTCTCGACGGCACCTACCTGCCCTAGTCTCAAACTGCTTGCATTCTCGCACGCACCCTCCCACGACAGCGCGCGTCTACGTATGCTGTACGGTACTACGGCGGTGAACCCCACATTTATCTCTCTTTGAGCCCGCAGGCAGCCGCCGTTCCTTGACGGCACGTACCTGCCCTAGATTGAAGGGGTCAAAAACTTTCTACTTTTCTCTCAGTAGAATCATTGTTTTCGCATTGGTACCTACATCATCATTGTTCTTGAGACCTCTGCGTGCTGTTCGGACGATGAGCACAATGACAGGACGATCAAGGGTAGGGACGACGCCTCCTGTGCTCGGATAGAGTTCCTGCAGAAAAAAGGCGAATTGCCGAGGGAAGAAAGGAACATTTGCGTGTATTGAACAGTATTGCGACGTGGTGCACACACGATTCATTGGATATTGTTAGTTTAGTTTGTCAGACAAAATTCAATGTTGGCAAACTGTCCGACATGATGAACGGATCTCCAGGCACCCCGGCGGGAGCTGTCTTTTGTCTTTTCGTACTCTTCTGCGAACCACGAACCGTTGTCCCCGGTGGGAAGCCTCCTCAATCCACTGACGGTATGTCCTTCGTTCGAATCCCATGGGGAATTTGTGAACGTCATGCAAAGCGATTCGTTCGTGAGTAAACAAAAATGAAGCAGCAATTTCTGAAGTCGTTTGGAGTTCCGAATCCAAGGCAGGGACCGCACAGAAAAAAAGGTGGAGGTGTACAACAAAACAAAAAAACGCCCATGTGACTACAGCGAATTTGTCAAGCATAGTATTTTAGGCCAAACGCCCTGCCATACCAACACTATGCATTTTTGTTTCCCAGAGTACTCCTTATGGGATTTGACTGGCATCGGCAAAATATCCATTTTTATGCATCGTTTACGGAGGCCGACATGATTTTGGATCCTCATTTTGGTGTTGAAAAAATGGTTTGTGTTATTTTTGTGTTTAGCATCAGCTTTGCTTGCGCTTCATCATTTCAACGAACCCAAGTTTAGTGTCATCGGCTACAGCATGGATGTATTTTTCATTGTCCGATAATTTGTAAATATTAGTTAACTCCCCTTGCTCAGTCTGTTTCCTACAATTTGGGAAAACCAACGAAACCAAATCGTTATCATATCAAGAAAATCCCAGACGGTTTTTTCACGGAAAAGGACTTGGCCAAAATCCTAAAAAAGAAAATCCAAGTCGGACGTCAGGGACATTTTCCGCTTGGATTTCCTGGAGAGAGGGGTCAGACGAGATGACAACCAACTTTGCGACACGAGCTCGGAACATTGCGCGCTCATCACGGGACCCGAGCATTCCTGAGCTTACTCCAAAGCTGTTGTGGTCGCTAAAAGGAACCTGTCGCTCGTCAAGCGTTCGAGACGAAAACACTTGGCCACAAGAAATCAACGGACAGGACAGAACGCGTGCCTGCAGTCAATACGACATTGCCACCAAACACCATAAGGCATCACAATCGTATTCTCCCTCGCTAGACCACGTATCAAGCTCAAACCTGG